CACCAACCAGCCACCCATCCTTGTGTGCACCCATCCACCCAACCACATTCTCATCCCTCCATTCATCTGTCCGTCCACTCATCCATCCATTCAACTGTCCATCTGTCCCTCCAACCATCCGTCCATGCATCCGTCCGTCCATCCATGCATTCCCATTACCATCCATCTACCTGTCCCTCCAACCATCCCTCATTCCTTCCTACGTGCCCGTAACAGCCAAGCCACCTTCACCAGCTGGGCCAAGGACCTAATGGACCAGATGATCAGGCACAAGCAGAAGATAGTTTGACTTTCTTGGCTACAAGAAAATGGCACCAGTTTACCCCAGTTTAACCCAGTGAGGAATCAGAACTGTGGGATTTGGAGGGACGGCCACAAAACAGAAACCAACCCCTGGGACAACTGAGGAACACGTGGGAAATGGGGTCTTCAGGTGGGACAAAGCCTGGGAGGGGATCACTGTCTCAAGGAAAACCTCATCTGGAAAAAACTCTGGGCACGTTAACTGCTGCAGTTGCAGGGAGGAATCGGCCGAGCCATGCCGGGAACCTGTCTGGCGAGAGGCACGGCACTACTCGCCCCGCAAGCGCGTTTCGGGGAGGGGAGGTCCTGGCAGCTCCTCTTGTGCAACAAGCTGCTCCCTAATTGTCTGTCTAATTGCCCGCGCTTGCTGTTCTGCTCCAGATTTAATACAATCGAATCAAAATTGCTGTGAAAAAGCCCCAGGCAGCCAAGCACGGAGCCAAGAGGAGGGGGAGCTGGCTTGAACCCAGCTGGAGAAGCAAACACCATCAGATAACCGTGTGTTTTCAAAGCCCAGGAGGATTAAGGTGTTTGCTCAAGCTACAGAGGGAGTTGTTTGAGTTGCAAAATGAGGGTGGGCTGGGTGGGGGGCACCCTGGGCCGCTTCGCTAAGGACGAAGGGGTTGCTCTGTCCTGGGTGTCCCTTGGTGCTGAGCGAAGCTGGAAGCTGCTGGCGGGTTTTGCTTCCCCATCACCTCCCCATCGCCAGCACCCATCACCAGCACCCATCGCCTCCCCATCACCAGCACCCATTGCCTCCCACGTTTGCATCAGTCTTTGGGAGAAGGTCAAGCCAGCCCTTGATTTTGACTGTGCTTAACTGCCCCCTCGTTAGCTCGGCAGGATAATTAACCTGATACAACTGCCTGTTGGCCCATAAAATCCCGCGGTTTATAGCTGAGCCCTATTTACGGCATCCGAGGTGGGCCGTGGGGTAGGACGGGAAAGCGGCGAGGCCGCCACGGTGGGAGGCAGGAGCACGCAGCCGCCGGCTGATGGGTATTTTGGCAGCCGATTTTCCTGGGATGCCTCCAATCGGAGCTGGAGGGGTCGCTGCTTTGACGAAGGAGGGTGCAAGCGGCCCATATTAAAGCCTCACACGGCGTTTTCCAGGCGGCATCGCCTTCCTCAACCTCAGCGTCTGGCTTTGAGCGGTCTGATCCAGGTAATGGCTGGAAAAAAACCCCCAGACCAGATGGTTAAAAGCACCCGGTTGGATTATCCCGAGCCTGCGCGGCTCGTAAGGCAAGCCCAGATGCGCGCAGATGTGTGCGGCGACGTCTGGGTTTGCATTTGCAGACGAGGTGGTGGCGGAGGGAGGGGAGGCTGATGAATTTGTGGAAAAAGAGAAAGTTGGAGGCGGAGAGGGAAACCGCTCCGACAGGGAAACCTCCGCGGGGCCCCGTGCCCCTGCGCGAGCCCAGACGCGCCGAGGCCGGCAGGTCCCGCCAGCATCCGTGGGGATGGGGAGGAAGTTCCGCAAAGCCCCGGCGTAAATTGCATCAGGGTTTAACATGCAAAATGGGATTTTGGAAAGGCTGAGTTTGGGCATGATTCCGAAACGGCTGCGGGGGTCTCCAGGGGACGGCAGCTGCTGGGGGTAAAATTTGGACTTTGGTGGCTTGCGGTTTATTTTAGACGTCGTTCTAAGGGAGGTTTCCAAAGCCGAGGGTGAACTGCAGGATCTGCAGGGCAGCGTTCCCCAAGTTGGGCTTTTCTAGCCCAAGCGAAGGGACCGCGGTCCCACTTTTGGGTCTGCCAGACGTCACCGCGGCGGAGGAGGGAGGCTGGGATCGGGGTGCTGGGGAGGTGCTCGCAAGAGGGACGTGGCTCCGACTCCAGGAAGCTCTCGCCTGTAAATTGGGGTGGCGTTGGCTCCTCTCTGCATGTAGCACCCAAGCTGGGTGGATCCCCAAAGGTAGATATGGGGCCAGGGAGCCGCTGACCGAAGGCGGAGGTGCCCACGTGTCCGCCGGGCATGGCCACCTTCCCTTTCACTAGCCACGACAGGGATGTTGCTACGGCCGGGGTGGCCAAGGACGCAGGGGCTCAGCGGGGCGGGGGGATGCGGCGGTGGCCCAGGTCCCCTCACTGCCCTTGGGGATCTCACCCCGCCGTGTCCCGGGGTCCCCCCGTGTGTGGGACGGGGGTCTCGGCTCAGCGGTTGGGAAGCTCGGGCGAGGAGAGGGCTGGCCACGACCCCAGGGAGGAGGACGCCAGGAAAGCGCGGCCTGTTTAGTCCAGCCAAGCCAGGGCCGAGGAGGCAGACGGCTGCGGTCTGCACATTCCTCCCGGAGGGACGGAGCGGGGATAGGAACCACCGGGAGCTGGAGGGAATTTACTTTTAAAGGGAAATTAAGTTTTTGGCTAATTTGCTGTCTGTTGGCCACGGGACGAGGAGGCGAAGGTCCAGCCCCAGCCTGACGCAGGGGAGGATAAGCAGGCTCTCCGCAGGGTTCCCTCTCTGTTGAGGACGAGCCCCAGCAGCTCACTAATCCTCCCCTTTTTGGTTTTTTTTTGGCAAAAGGAGCCTTTTTTTTTTCCAGCTTCTCCCTGCTTGGGAGGAGCCGAGTCTCCTCCAGATCAAAACTCAGCTTCCCAGGGCAAAGCTCAGCTGTAAACCCCGGCCCGGCGCTGCGCCTTCCCTCCCTCGGGGGCCCCGGGGTGGCAGCGGGGCACCCGGGGGAGCGCGGCCGGCCCCAGGGAGCTGCTGCGGAGCCGGGGCCACTCTCCCTGGGAGCCGCAGCCGTGCCCAGACATCGCCTTACACGGTCAGGCCGCGGCTTTTCGGGAGGGCCGCGGAGACCCGACGCTTTCGTCACACTGCTGATAACCGGGTGCTCCCTGCCGCGCTCCCCTTTCCGCTCAGGGCTGTTTCTGAAGGTTCATCTCGGAGAAGATTTTAAAATATTTGCTAAACGAGGAGCCTTTCTGTTCTGATTTCTTTTCTGGAGGAAGGAGGTTCCGGTGCCCTGGGAGGGCAGGGATTATTGCCACTGCTCCCTTCCCCCCCAGACATGGAGGAGAACGATGGAGTGAGTCACGCGGCTGTGCCCTGTTTTACAGTGACCGCCCCGTCACACGCGAAGGGCGGTGGCTGCCGGGCCCTGCGCCGCACACCCAGCTGCAAACCGCTGGCTCGCATCCTGCCCGCCCGCAGCGGCGCAACGGGGAACCGTGACGGAAAAAGGGGTTTTGAATAAAGCCATGGCTTCCTCCCGCGAGCTACAGCCCTACGCCCGCGTTGTGCGGCGGCAGGCCAGCTGCGAGGGCTTGGAGAAGTGCAGGTACGCGACTCAGACGAGGCAGGCAAGAGGCTGTCAGGAATTTAATTGTACTTGGCACTCGAAACTGTACAATACATTTACAGAGAACCACGCGTTTGTGTCTATGTACACCCTCTTCCCGTTTCCAACATTACTGGCCAAACGTGTGACAGGCCACGACGCTTTACGCGCAAACTACGGCTCCTCGAGCACGGATTTCGGGTGACGCGCAAGGACGGGTATCGTGGGATGGCTGTCCTCGCCCCAGCACCACCGGCTGAATGAGAGGAACAACCCGCGGGCTTTGCTCAAAGCTGTCACCGCTTTGTTTCCTACGGCGCTTCGCAGCGCGGTTACCAAGCTGGTGTCTCTCACGCGAATCTTTGGACCGCTAGAACATGGCAGTGTCGCCGTTACGAGTATATACAACCACTACCTCTTCTGTCTTTACACCTCATCGGCTTCAAACGCTTTCTTTTCTCTACCTTTCTACCACATGCAATAACCCCTTGGTTGCCTCCAGTCCTGCCTCCCCGCGGAAGGCATTTCATTTCCAAAAGGCAACGGTAACAAGAAAAATCTACCTTCGCTCCCTGCTATTCCCCTCTAGCTGCTCCTCTTCCCTCCCCAAACCCTTTACAACGTGCCTAAAACCTTCCTAAACCCCGTTAGCAATGCAGTTCTCTTTCAGTAGTCCGGAGCGCATGCAAGCCGTTTACGTCGCTCGTCGTTACGGGGTGCGTTGAGCGTCTCCCTCTCAGCCACCGGCTCGTAACGCTACGGCTCGCCTGCGCTCCGCAGGACTGTGGAGTGACGTGAGAAAACGGTACGTGCACGCACGCCTCAGAGCGAGAAGGATCAAGTACTTGGAAGGAAATGCCAAGTCTGAAGAACAACAACAACAACAACAACATACAAAAGTAAAAAAACAAAAAAGGAACAACAAAGAAAACAAACAAAAAAACCCCCAAACTTGAAACAAAACAACTAATAAAAAAAAATTAAATACCTGGCAGGTTACAAGAGTGAAAATGAGGAATGTACAAAGGACACACTAAGATGAAAGATTCCAGTAGGTAAATTGAGAACCTGCTGATTTTTTTAAGACAAAAAGTTGCATGGATTACGATAACCACACCCTGCAAAGCATGCGCTGTACGAGACAAGAAGAAAATGCCAATTCAGGTTTTGAGCCCATGTTAAAAGGACTCTTGCAGCGTTGATCCAAACCCCCTGCAAAGGGAGGCGCTGCCAGGCTCGCGGTGACGCCCCAAACTTCTGCTTTAGCTTTACTGTTTTCCAGCCTCAAACACCGCGTGTGGAAATCTTTCGGAGGCTAAAGTGTGCTCTTCAAATCTGCCACGAGCGGTCAAGAAGCACGAGGGCTTCTGAATCCCTCACAGCGTTAAAACCAGGTTCAAAGTGGCCATGTTTGTAAAAACAGACTCCAGCTCAACAGTGTTAACTGTATACCAGTAGCTGCCATTACAACATAAAAAAAAAAAAAGCAAAAAAAAAAAATTCTGTTCAGCAGAGCAAATCCAATCATGCTCACATTACAAGAAAAAATGTACACGTTATTTATAAATAAACAGTCTTCCACCAGGATGGCGCTGGGCTCCCCTCTACACTAGCGTTTCTTTCCGCTTGCCACTTAGCTGCTTCTCCCTCGTTCTTCTGTGCCCAGACGATGTTCGGTGTGTTTTCACTCCCTTGGCTTCCTCCGAGTCCAGGATGGAGCCGCACTCGGATGTGCTTTCGTCTAACTCCATCTCGGTGATGCCAGAGATGGCAGATTGCCTCTTCTGGGCTTTGATGTTGGGCGCGGAGGGGTTGTTCTCCTCCGACTCTTCGCTCAGCTCGGGCAGCTCCTTCAGCTCGGCGGCGGCGGCAGTCCGCTGGAAGGGAGCGATGGCGGTTCGGATGCAATTAACCCATTGCTGCTTGTGGAAGACATCGTTGGCCTGCAGCGTGTGGGACTGGCCTGGGGAGGGATCTTGGAAACGAACTCGGAAGATATTTTTAGCTGATGATAAACATAGGAAATAGCAGATCAGATCCTAGCTCAATATTTAGAGATTCCATCGCTAGACAAGTGACCTGGACCGCTGCTCTGCTTCAGGGAAAAACATTCAAAACTCCACCAAAAGAAAAAAAAAAACCCAAACCCCACAGCGCAGCAGAGACGTGCTGAAACAGATGTTTTCTAATTTGAGCACCAAGTGCAAAGCGCCATATATAATTTTATGGCCACCAAATATAAAACTGCGAAGCCCAGCAGTGACAGTCTAAAGGTGGACGTTAACGCATGTCACATGCCTGTTATCCCAAAGGAACCCCGGTCCGCGGGGACCTATGCCCAGGCGTAATCTCTCCTCTCCAACAGATTCCCCCCCAGATGAACTGGTTTGGTCCGTACCTTTATCGGAATTGCCAAAAGCTCCTCGGAAGGATCCTCCCATTTTCACATCGCCATCCTGCAGGTCTTCGAGGAGCAGCTCCTGGACGGGGATTGGCTGCCTGTACACTTGGTAGGCCTGACGCTCATTGCGAGTGACTGGCCGGGTCAAAACCAGGATGTCTTGGAAGAGGAAGACGTAGAGTTTCTGAAAGGCAAAGCACATTGGAACATGAGCGAAGTGTTGTACTCTGTATTCAAAGCGGTTACACATCCTCTGGGATTCAAGGCCACGTTATCTGAAGTTTCACCCACGTTAACCTTCTGACAGTTTCTTGTTACAGCAACGTAGGGCCCTGGCAGTGGTGGCACAGACCGGACTTATATCAACAGGTTTATTATTTTAATGACCCTTAAAAAGTGAATCATGATTTACGGATGCCAAGAATAGGATGATTAGAAGCAGTATCTTTTCTGACAATACAAAACGCTTCATGTATGCAGAAGTGTAACGGCCAAATTAAACAAAAAAAAACCCCAACCAGCAAAAAAAAATAAAGAAAACAGAAAAAGATTTGATGTTTAAAACGAGGTTACTCCCGCAAGGCAGAACAAAAGGCAGCGAACCCTCGAGTACAGCAGGGTCTTTCAGCGCTGCTGCAGTGGGAGATAAACTTCTGGCAGTTCATCTCAAAGCCAAGCAGGCGTCTGCAGGAACACTTTTGTTTGGAAGAGCTGCGCGCCAGCGCTCATAATGGGGAATGTCAGAGCACCTGAAAGTAAACAGCCGGCAGGAAATCCCTTTTGATGGAGTGCTTGGGCACAGAGCACACTTTCTATGGTAATTCTGCGCTAATTATTTTCCAGCTTCTGAAGGCCAATTGTAAAGCTGTCAACAGCCTGCCATCAGGTGCTTTCTCTTCTGCTTTTTAAATTTAGCTAATTGTCTAAAGTAACCCTAAGGATGGAAGGGCTCCTGGTCCTGCTACCACAAACGGTTTTAACTACCTCTGGGGGAAGGTTTTCAAACTTGAGAATTAATGACCATGAACACGAGGGACTTACATGTCCATTTTTATTCTTCAGCTCCCCGTGGCACAGTAAAGCTTTGCTGCCTTCGATCCTCGGGTCCTTCTGCTTCTCATCCAGGTACTCCAGCTTGTCAATGTAATACTGGCACTCTGACTCCCCCTTCTTCAGGTTGATGTCAGAGAGGACTCCTTGGATTATGGATATCTATAAAACAAAACATTTACAAATAATTAAATAAGGACCTCTGCTTGTGTATCTTCCCTTTAAGTGCTATTTAAAAACTCCCGATGATGGAATCCATGTGGACTCATCTCTCACTTGCTTTCAGAAAGGTTTACAGTCACAGATTTGTGTCCACCGAGAAAACCACCCCACAAAATTGCTGAGGGTGAAAGAAAGCTTTCTGAAGCTCCGGAATGACATGCTTATGTCACAACAACGATCACGAAATCACTATTACTTACGGCTTCTTCCAGAATCTGGATATCGGGATGGTCTTTGGGAGTGTGCCTCAGGATCTCTTTCAGGAGGAGCGGGTATTTGACCAGCCGACTGCGAGGAATGTCCAAGAAGCTCCAAAGGTCTAGCTTGCGGCTGAAAGGAGACTCGAGGCAGCGCTGAAGGAAGTCCTGCACTCTCCGGTCCTGCTTCTTTTGATCCAGAAGTGCTTTGGCTGCCAGCTGATTGCTACAGTAACCTTTGTAGGCATGGAGTCGTGGTAACTGCAGGAGAACAGAACAATGTTCAGGAGTTAAATTCCATGTAGGAAAAGCAAATCACATTAACATGTCAAACTCGGGGAGTTCTACTTCCCTTACTGCAATACTTTCCCCAATAAAAAAGCTAACAGACTTGTATCTTGTATATGTAGTTAGTCTTTTGTGAGGAGAACAAGGGCATCCTGCGTGCAAAGCCTTTGAAGTTCAGACGTTTGAGATTAACAGCGATAACACTATTGAAATCACATCGGTCACAAACAGTCCAGAAGATATAGACATTTCAAACATAAATCAGCAAGTAATTGCAGTCACACTGGTGTAAGTCTCCAGGGTGAAATCGCGGCCCATTACGGCTGACAGACTCCCATTGTTTTCAGTGTAGCCAGGATTTCCGTTTCAATCTTTCGCTCAAGGCCACAAAAGCCCAGAGCTTTTCGGCTTCTAGCTTTAAACGTTCTTTAAGCGCATTTTTAGCCTGCTGTCTCTAAGTTATGTACTCACCCACTTCACAAGAATGGGCCCAATCTGCTCCACTGTTCCATCTGGTTTTGTTGCTTCTCCTAAACTTGCCAACAAGTCTGGAATTGAAACACAAAAATAGAAATTGCATCAATGCCCCAGTAAGCTGTTCTAATGTGAGAAAGCACAGAGTTTAACTCTTAGTCAGCAAGTTATGTGAACATGACCCACTTGCTCTTACCTTCATGCAGAGGAATATAAGAATCCAAGTCCCCAAATATGTGGTTGAGTTCCTCCTCGGACATGATGGAGAGTTTCAGCATGGGATCATGATAGGCCTGTCAAAGGACGTCAGTATTAAAATACATTAAAACCTCCCAAACCCAAAAGCCGACAATTTAAATATGAGGGGATGTATGACGTGCAGGACAGATATGAAGTGAAGCCAACAGAAACAGTAACACCGACTTTGATCGCTAAAAGATTCATCTCGGTATGGAGGCATAGGATGAAAAGGACTTTCCTGTCTGAACTGTTCTCATCTGCGAGAGGGATTCCCCAACCAGCTCTGCAGCACTGCAAAGCGCAATCCTTTTTTGGCTGGGTTTGCTGCAATCAAACCAGTACTGCAGGACTGCTCACGTCAGCTTTCCAGGCCAGCTTTCAAACTGTGAACTCTGGGCCTGATAAAGCTGATATGTAATGCGTGCAGGTGCAAAGAAAATTCATGATTATCTCTAATACGATCACTGACTGCTGCAAAAAAACGACTCACCTTTCTGGCAAGCTTCAGGTCTTCGATTAGGTCCTGCTCTCCCCTGGACATTTCATAGATGGCCTGTGAGGAAGGGAATAAAGCATCCAGAGTCATTTTTAATACCAGTCTTCCTCTCAAAGGGCCTTTCAGCTCACATAATGTACATCCCGTCTCTGCAGCCTGAATAGGCGGTTTTGCCATCTGAATCACTGTATGCCACCTGGGCATGACAACCTCAAGTAAATCTGCCGGCTTTCCCAGCTCCGAGAAAGCGACATTACTTACAACTGTGTGAAAGCTCTGATGCTCGTGCACAAGCCAAATTAAATATTAGCGCCTTTTAAATCACTGCTTTTACACAGGCAAGTACGAAAAAAACAAAACCCAGAAAACCACAGAGGTCAAATCCCAGGCGTCTTTAGTCAGCTTCTGTGTTGCCACTAGAAGATTTGTCTAAGAACTACAGGAAAAAGGCAAGCCAAGGCCTTGCTATTTGGCTTTCAACCAATTGTCAAGAGCTTTAAGAGAAAGACAGCTGGCTTTACAAGGAACCCGACTTTGGGTCTGCTGCAGAGCAACCAGCGTGGCGGGGTCTCGAATTTCAGAAATGCTGAGCACCCCCGTGGAAAGAGTCTGGCATCTCTGAAGGGTCAAACTGGGGAGACAAACTCCCTAGTGACTCAAGAGAGAGAAGCCTACCTTTTCCCATGCCTAATGCAGAAATAAATCTAGCGGTTTAGAAATGAAGGTGCACAGGAAGATACAGTCACCCACAGATGCTCGTTACTCCTTTACTTGCCAAGGAAACAGCCCAAGCCAAGGCCTCGGCTGCCTCTCCCAGTCCTGCTGTTTAACAGACAGCCTACCTCCTGGCGCTTAATTTCTTTGGTGCTCAGGGACTCTTTCATGTTGACATCTAACATCTCAGACCAAAGTACGCTGTTTCTTCTTTTAGGAGTAGGAGCAGCAGATCTGCTACATGACTTCTGGGCACAGCCAGGAGACTTGCTGTCACTGCGAAGGGCAAATGACTACAGGGATTTAAAAAAAAAAAAAAAAAGTAAAAAAAAAATACGTAGAGCCACCATTTCAGAAGTACAGAAGTATTATAGTATTATCCATACCCCCCCCAATCCTTCACCCTTCTCTGTTGTACAGGACAGGAAAACACACCCAGACACTTTTCCTCAGATAACGGAACACTTTAATCAAGCTGCTGAGAAAGCCCTGAGCGCCCAGAGATTGGCGAGCTTTTCCATGCACCTCTCCCTGCACTGATCCAGCAGCAGCACTTGGGAGGAGGATGGGCGGGTAAAGCTTGGGTCTATTTCCAAGGTATAAGGAAGTAAATAAACTAGGATCATAATTCTACCCGTAGCGGGGCTAATCAGGAGACACTTGAACTTTGCTCTCGTGATTTGCAATGTTACTAACACCCAGACACAGAAGCGCTCTTATCTGCATGCATGGGGTATAGTGTTCCTTCTCTAACACTATTGAAAGATCACTGAACAGCAGGGTCAGCTCACGCCTAAGTACATGCTCCAATACGCGCATCTCAAGCACTGGAACAGTTTATCAAGTACATCTCCTTATCTGAATCAGTTTGTTTTTTTTTCACTGCTTAAACCCTCAATAACCTGGTTATCTAACAAGCTACCTCTGAACTCCCGAACTCTTCTTCATCCCCAAGTCCCAAGCAAGCTTTCTGTCCTTGCACATAGGAGATTTTCAAAAGACGCCTTGAAATTCCAGTGCTTGTTTTACCCCCATCCAGCCAGTACCTTCCCCGGGTCTCCAGACTTCTAGGACTAGAAGGCTCTGCTTTTTACCTGTATTGTCTGCCCAAAGCGCCGCACTGCACCATTTCTTACAGGAGAGATCAAGTTCGCCAGGGATGTGACCCGTGCTAAAGGCCGAACCCGCTTATTGCTTGGCTCCTGTAAATAAAGCAGAGAACAAATTGTACTGGCTGTGACTCCCACTTCATTTCTCAAGCTGCCCAGGCAGGTTTAAAAAGCATAAACCCACTTAAGGAGTGGGAAACACAGCAAAGAGAGTGTTTTGAAGTAGCCATTCATCTTAGAAGGAAAGCAGAGGCTGTAAATATTTGTCTGAACTTTAAGGCTGCAATTAAACTGCAGAGGCTTTGCCCAGTGTAAAAGAGGGAAGATAACATACACGTCAGTCAGAATTCAAAATAGAGCTCAAACAGGGACGGTTATGGTTTGAACATAAATAGACTGAAGCATTCTCCTCCGCCAGGCAAGTGATTGTCATCTAAAGATGGAGCCGTGATCTGCTTCTCCATTTTATCATGTTTGCCTTTGTAGAAAGAATGTGTTTTTCCATTTTAATTTTATTGCGGAGAGAAAAGCAGCAGTCGGAGCCCAGGACAGCCTCAGCAGCTATTCTAACAAATAGCAAATGACCACATGCTGAACATTCCTGCGAGGGACACGCACACACAGAATGGATAAAGTTTAAAACCTTCAGTTTACAAAGCTTCCTCCTCCTTCTCCTCCTCCTCCCCACCGCCCTCCAAGCCATCATAATTTTTCTTATATGTTGTTTAGATTTGAAAGATAGAGCTTCTGCTTTTCTACACCACTAATCCCCGCCGGGAGCACAGAGCGTTTTCAATTCTGTCCTGACCGAAACGCTGCCAAGAAAGAGGAAACGCCCCATGGAAACCTCCTGCTGCTTAAGCTCAGATCAGTTTTGAAAATCATGCTGGCAAACCTACATGTTCTACACCAAAAATATTGCGTTGTAAGGACTGTACAGGAAAGGTGGGCACCATGGGACACCAGGAAGAGATGGACTCAGAGCTTAAGGCTAGGAGAAAGGCCCTGGTGCTCCTAAACATCTGGCAGATGGTTGGATGTGACTCATCATCAGAAGGAAGCTTTTTAGCATGCGGTTCAGGTGAGCTGATGGAAGCAGTCTCTTTTTTTGAGTTCATCTCAGTAGAAATTTTACCAAAGCTTTATTAGGCATTTTTGGTTAATTACAGTTGAGTCTCTCTTACGTTTCGAAAGGCTAAAAGGCAAAGAGTGAGAAGGCTGCTTAGGACAAGCTCTCTGCTGTCTCTGTTTCCAGTCTGAGATTGCAAGATAAGGTGCCCAAACCCTTTGCTTCTGTGTAGCAACAGAAGTGACAGACAAATGCTGAAAACAAAAAAGGGGAATAGGAACACACAGAGCTGGATTCCAGTCATGAGACTGAGAAAGCATAAAAGCTACGTATGTAAGATCTGATTTCAGCAACATGACCCGAGGAGTGGCCCGTCTGCCTGCCTACACGCAGTGTTAAGCAACAGGGGAGGTTAGCTCACACTGAATTAAGCCTTCAAAGTTGCAGGGGGGGAAAACATGAAAAGAAACAATTTATGAGTGATGCAGAACAGAGAGACCTCTTGGCACAGCACAAAGCGCGTTCAAAGCTGTGCTTGAAACGTTTGGGTAATCTCAGAACTATGAGGGTACTACAGAAATAAGGAAAAGCTATAAGAAAGCGCCTTCACCCTGGAACCCCAACCCTCAGCTGGGTTTAGGTACAGCACTGGGAACACTGCAGTCACTTCTTTGCCAACCATGAGCCACTGCACTCAGGACAGAGTCAGTCAGGAAAAGGATTACGCAGAAGGCTGGAAAGTTAGGCCGGGCCCAAAGGAAGACAAGGAAACTTTAATTAATTGCAGACGTTTCTGAGTGGAGGAAAAGGATAGGTAATTTACTTCTAGAAAACCGTGTATCAGTGTACTAGAATAAAGGGATGCAAGCCAAGAGAAGCTTAAGAAACTGCAGGAATGTAAGCAGAAAATATACAGACATAAGCCACACACAGCTCTGTCAAGGCCAGTGATATAAATAGCATGGAAAAGAAAAACGTGACACTGAAAATTAATAGCGAGAAACCTCAGTGCTTTAGGATGCTTGTACAGTCTTTCGCAGCTCGCTGTTAAAGGGTCAACTCTGCAGCCTTTCCAGATATGAGATACAATGACACCCTATCTGCGCTAAGGGACATGTGTGAATGCCTTCCCAGCACATCTGTGCTGGGCTGAAGCGACACATGCATAGGCACAAGGTCTGGCAGAAGGCATCCCTGCCTCTCCATTTGGGACAGGCGGTACAAAGGGGCTCCCTGGGATTATAAATCGCCACTTTTCTGAACAGCCGATACGTAACTGAGACGTGCAAAGACAGGCTCGGAGGGAGAAGCACTGCTCTCTTGAACGAGAGGGAGCACGGCTCCCGAGGAGCCCTCCTCTGCCCTGCGGAGGGAGGAATTTCGCACAGATCGGCATGACCAGAGCATTTTCTGTACATGCGATGTGCTCCCCTGGGGTGTTCGGCCAACAGAAAACCTTCTGTACGCTATAAATTCAGCTTAGCAAAAGGCCATTTCCCCTCTCAAAGAGAAACAAATCCCACTTTCTGTCCTGCAAGTGCCCTCAGACGTGAATGGCTCAACTGCCAAAAAAACGCATCTGTTTCTTCTTCTTCTCCTTCCAGCGATACTGTTTGATCCAAGACAGGGAGGGGGAAAAAATCCCTCTCCTTAGAAACTTCACCTTCTCTGAGACCTGTGTTTCAGCCCGGGGTCATGTACTCCACTTACAGTCAGACTGAGCTGCGGTGTAAGCTGAGACTGAGTGCAGTTCGTACTATGGATAACTTTGGCTCAGTGGTTTTTTGGGGTTTTTTTTGGTTTTTTTTTTTTTTAGTTCTGTACTTGCAAACAATGATTACCCTGTCTCCATGCTGTATTACTTGCAGAAGCCCAGATTAGAATGAAGTCTGTAACGTTTCTGTAACAAGCTAATAGTGTTATGCATTACAACACTGACAGATAATTAAAACCCCACCGAGTTCAACAGCACTTCTGCTTCCATTCAAAATTTTTTTTCCAGGGGACTCTTTATTAAAAGTGAATATAAATATATCATAAACATACACGCAAAGGCTAAATTTGTGCCTCAGCTGGCAGACAAGACTTCACACTAGGGGAATTTCTTCAAGTGCTTCTAAGTGTAGGTTAACCCTTCACATTGTGAAAAGATTACACCTTGCTGCTTGGAAGAAAAACAGGCTCTACTTTTGAGCAACAAACATTTTCCTCTAGCAGCCTGCACGCCTGTAACCTTTCCCCCACGCTAGGTAATGATTAGTGGTTTTTACAAGGATCGCTTACTAGAGTGCAATGTCCTACCTGCCAGTCCCATACCACTGCGTACAAACACGGTGACGAATCTAAAAACCATGCACAGCAAAACTTTTCCTATTAAGCCAAATAAGCATAAAGGGATTTTAGTCACCAGCTCGAATAACTCCTGCCAGAAATCATCGCCACCTGACTGTCTTATTTTAAGATTCACGTGCAAGGAGCTCGCCGAATCTCAAGCTCTGTTCTGAAAATGGCTGTCTGGACTGAAACCGAACAACCAGCCACTGGCTTGACACGTCGGTACAGAGGTTACAACCCTCGCCTTTCTCAAATTCAACAGGCTGTTTGCCACCGAGGGAGAAATCTGGCCTCACGCTCCACTGATAACTTCAGTGGCTCTCGACAGCAACTCAGTACCTGGCACTTACAGGGGTGCTGGCTTAGGAGTCATTACTCAAGCCCAGACCCAAAGTTTAACTTCAGACACCCAGCGTGCTGGTCATAGCCTACAGAAAATACATGTTTTAAGAATTAGACGCGATTTGCTCCCCTTTAAGAGATCTGGTTTATGTTATTGCTCTCCCAACATCTGGTTTCTCTTTTGCGCAATGAGATTGCCCAAGTTTGGCTGTTTTAAAGCCAGGATTTTAAGAGCCTGGCGACTCAGACGGGAGCCCTCAAGCCCCAGAGCTGTCTGGAGCCGCCTTTTTTTTCTCTTCCACCTCATCTCACCGCCAATCTCGGCAATAAAACCCTGCCCAGGGCAGCCGGTCCCTACCTGGCTGCCGAACTTTTGCCTTCTGTCGCAGCAGGAGGCCTTCGAGCATCTACCAAGAATGCAATTATTCTCATCTACATAACAACAGATAATAAAAATAACAATACTTCAAAACACCCCCCCCCCCCAACCCCACAACACACCAGGGATTTTTTTTTTTTTCTGTTTTT